CCGTGCCCTGGGAGGCCCCGTGCCCGTGGAGATGCCTGGCTTTCTCCCGAGAAGGTGGGTGCCCCACGCGGACCCCTGTCCTCCCGGGCAGTGAGCGGTTACTAGCAGCAGCTCCAGTGGTGGCCAAGGTGTCTCAGGTGGGACTCGGCCCCTGTCACGGGAGGGTCCACGCAGGAACAGCACGGGACCACCCACAGCGCTGCTTCCCGTGGGACCCGCACCCGTGGGCCTCCCTCCCGGCCCCCGATGGACGCGGGTGGGGCAGGCCTCGTGCTGAGAGAAGGCAGCCTCTCCCCGTGCCTGACGCCCCCGGTCGGTGGGCCCGTCTCGGGCAGATGGAGCCCCCGCAGGGGAGCAGCTGGTTGCCCCGACCCTGTGTCTGGGACCCCCGTCGCTGGGAACATCTGAGGTTATCAGACCCGTCTCCTGTCGGTGGGCAGAGCCCTACCTCGAGGGCCTGAGGGGCGCTGAGCTGGGTGGTGCCTGGTGCAGCTCTGCCCACAGGCGTCTTCAGGGGCCCAGGGGCCCGGCTCCAGGCCCGGAGAACTGCGCTGATGACCTTTTTAAAGTTAGAAAAACACACAAAACCCAGCAAGGAACAGGAGGCCTCCGGCTGCCGCCCCGAGGACGAGTAGGAGGTCGGCCCCTTCCCTGTCCCGTGGGCTCGACTCTCTGCCCGCGGGACAAGTTCAGGGCTTGTGGCTTCAGCTGCCGCGGCGATATCGGTGCCCGCGAAGCCCTTCCCGTGTCCTCTGTGTGGCAGAGACACGCGGGCTTCGGCGCGGAGACACTCGCGCTGCCTCACCCCGAGGTTTCTGCCGCCTCAGAACTTCACACCGTGGGCGCCTCCAAGGTTTCCGTCAGCTCAGCGGGCCCGTCCCTGTGAAGATGGGTTTCAGGTGACGTGTGCACAGGGTCTTTCTGGGGACCAGGGCCGGGGAAGGGCGCTGGGACCCGCGGGTGCTGCCTACCTGGTGGCGGGGCCCCCGGACCCGACTGGCTTCCTGCCAGGGGCCGCCGCTCGAAAGGTTCGCCAGGAACAGTTACGCGAGGAATGTTCTCCACTGTGGGGCTTCCAAAAACACGCGTGAACAAAAAGAGAGCTGCGTGTTCTTCTCCCACACGTGGAGCCGTTCCTGCCGTGTGACACCAGGCGTGGCTCGGGGCCCTGGACTGGGGTCGGCTCATCCCAGCCCCACCCTGGCCCCGGTCAGCACGTGGAGAGGGGCGGGCGGCCTGCCGCCTTTGCCCTAAACACTCAGTGTGTCTTCGAAGATGGAGCTCTGTTTTGGAATTGTGGGCCACTCGCTGTCACATTGGACGCCGACAAGTGATTTAAAGTGACCTCTCCGGTCGCCGAGTGAGCCGGCGGTCGTGTGGTGGGGTTCCCTGCCCCTCGGCCGCTGACCCGCACGGTCGTCATGCGGAGGCCTGGCGCTCCCCCCCACGCCCCCCGACTCTGAGGGCTGCCTGTGTGACCTGCTCACCTCCCCACACTCCTGTGTCTTTTCCAGATTGGTGCTGATCGGGGAATCGCTGGGGTTGTGGCTTCGTGTCCCGGAGAGGCGGGGCTGGTGTCTCTCCACGGTCACCGATGAATGGCCTAAAGGTGGTCTTCAGTTTCAAATCGAGGAGCTTGGTTGCACGTCTGGCCTGTGCCCCTCTGCCCTGTGCCCCCGTTTGTCCTGGAATGTCATGAGAGGGGGTCACCGCTGGCCCAGCGGCTCCGAGAGCTGCTGGGATGATGGCTCATGTACCTGAAGCATCACTGTTGACAGGGACTTGTCATCCAGGGGACACCTGCAGGTCTCAGAATTTTTCCTGTGGGTGATGATGGTGTGGCCTGAGCATCCGGGTCCCCTGGGCTGGTGGAGGCGCAGGGGACAGAGCTGGGACGTAGCTGCAGGGACCCTGGAGGTCGGAGTGCGGCAGAGCAGAGCAGGTACCCCGTGAGCTGATCTGCAAACAGCCTCGTGGTGGGGGCTGCGGAGAAACTCTGGCCACTGGTGACGTCTCCAGGCTGCAGGATGGAAGGCTTTTCCTGGCCAGACTCCCGCCCACGGGTGGTCGGCAATGGGGGTGGGCCTGCCGGGCTCCAGGGGACAGCGGGACAGAGGCGTGGCCCCAGGTGGGGGAGCCGGACGGACAGAGGAAAACCCCGAGTTGTTCTGAGATTGGATCTCCGTGCCTGGGTGACTGTGCTGCTGTGAACGGCGTTAGAAAAAGTCCTTCACGTGTTTTCCATGTGAAGAAAACGCAGATGCTGGAAAATGAGAGTGAGCTCTGGGACCCGGTGGCCCAGCTGCCCTGGGAACGGGGCGACTCGAACGGGGGGCGCATCTCTTTCCAGCCGGGGCCTCGCCCACGCGCAGTGTGTGGCTCGCTCACCTCCTGTGGTCACACTGGGGACCCCAGTGAGGAGGGCAGGGCCGGCCAGGTTCCCGGCAAACAGGGCGCCTGAGCCAGGCTGCTGGTGCCCAGAGCGTCGGGGGTCCGGGGACCGTGTGGGGGCACCAGGCACCGAGCACTGACCGGCGGGGCCGCGGAGGCTGCAGGTGACCGGGAGGCGATGACCTGTCAGTGGAACTCGGACTCTGGCAGACGAGGCCCAGCAACAGCATTTAAAATTTTTGTTTTGCAAGAATTTCACATTCACCCTGGCTGGTGTGACTCAGTGGGCTGGGCAGTGGCCTGCAAACCAAAAGGTCATAGGTTCAATTCCCGGTCAGGGCACAGGCCTGGGTTGTGGGTTTCCACACTGGAGGCGGTTATGGATTTTCTCTCTTCCACTTTCTTTCCCCTTCTCTCTAAGACCAATAAGCATGTCCTCCAGTGAGGATTTAAAAAAAACAAAGGAATTCCAGGCTGACAGAAGGCGGCAGGGAGCCCTGATAACCACCCTGCCGGCTCCTGGGCCGGTGCGGGGAGGACACAGGTGCCGAGGACGCCTGCGTCCCGGCTGCTCCGAGAACCTGCCCGTCGCCCTCATTTAACGCACGAGAAGGCGCAGCGGGGGTTCGGGAGAAACCCGTGGGAGTCCCCGGAGCCGCCCGGGGCCGGTTGGGAGCAGGCTGCCCGTGGGGGCTGGCGGGGACCGGCGGGGGCAGCCGTCCGGCCGCAGTCCTTCCCGTGGCCCTGCCGGGGCCACTGCCTGTGTGGAGCAGGGCCTTCCGGGCCCTGACGGTACGGGGACCCCTCGGGTCCTCCGTGTGTGGGGACCCTGTGCTGTTTTACAAGTGGCCCTTCACGTGAGTCTCACAAGACCACGTCCCCTGCTGGTGACATCGTCCGGTGTTGTGTCACGGCCGGCTGTCACGGCCCGGGGGGCCGTGACCACTGTTCACGGGGGCGGACTCTCTGAGGCCTGTGACGGTCGCTCCCGAGACCCCACAAGGGGGCTGCCTGCTGGGTGGGGCCGGGCCCCCGGCAGCACAGGAAGTCGGACGCGTGGAATCCAGAGGTTTCCAGGGGTGTCCCGTGGGTGCCGTGGACATATTTAGTCACGCTGATCGTTCACGCGTGACAGGCGTTCACGCGTGACAGGCGTTCACGCTTCACGTCACTGAGTCACGAGCCGCCACTGCCCTGAGGCCTCCTGGGGGACGGCGCTGGTCCCGGGCAGCCCTCGGGCCCCAGCTGTGTGTCAGCCGGTCCCTGGGTGGCCGGCAAAGCCCTGGGGGTGAGGACGCTGTGACTCTGTCCAAGGAAATGACCAGAAAGGCAGCCAGGGCGGGTCCTGGTCACGCAGGTCTCGGAGACGGACCTCCGCCGTGAGCCCAGCCGGGGGTCCTGGTCAGCCATCGAGTCAGCCGGTGAGAGGCTGTGGGTGGAGCTTCCCCCGCCCCCGGCAACGTGTCCAGGCGCCCAGACGGGCAGATTCGAGGTGCGTGGGGTGCAGATGCCGTCGTCGCCTCGGTCTGTACGGCTCAGCGACGCTCACGTGCAGACTGACCACCTGCAGTGAGCACGACTCTTGAAAACTCAGGTTCAGTTGCAGCTGAGTTGGAAGCCCGACACTGTCCATCTGGACACTGTTTGAAGCTGGACGGTCACACGCGGAACAGTGACAGGCAGGACCGTCCGTCTGGAGGGGGGCAGAGTGGGTGCTGGGTGGAGGCCTGTCCCGGCCCCCCCCTCCACTGTGGGAGCCGTCCTGCATCCCTCAGTCTCAAGTCACTGCTGGGAGCTCCAGGCCGATGTCCGTCCATCCGTCCGTCTGTTTATGGGGGTTCGGTTGGCGTCCGAGGTTTCTGGCTGCACCTACAGGCCGACTGCAGGCGTGGCCTCCTCTTGACGCCGCCAGGCTGGGGGCAGACGCAGGCCCTGGGGGGGGCGGGGCTCGCCTGCAGGGGCCAGGCCTGGGCCGACGTAGCCGTTCGGGGTCAGGACCCCGAAGTACCTTTTGTAGGCGCATCGGGACCCTCGGGGCCCCAAGGACCTGGCCCCACGTGGCTGGGCCTCAGTCTTCCTCCCTGGGGAACAGGGCTGCTCATGTCCCATCCAGTGCCACGGGCTCCAAGGACACGCATCCCACTGTCCACTTCCACTGGCCGGTGCCCAAGCTTGCCAGTCACCCCTGGGTGACATTAAGTAACAAACAAGCTCACAGACCAGTCTTGTGGGCTCCACGGTGATTTATTTCCCTGGTGACAGGTCTCCCCTTTGTCTGAGCGAGTCAGGGGATTTGGGGGCTGGGCTTCAGGGTCTCAGACCAGGGCGTGCCTGTGACCCGTGGAGGTTCGGTCAGTCAGACAGGCCTGTGGTGACGGAAGGACAGCGTGGTGAGGCCACCGCGGGAAACGTCTCCATCTTATTCAGGAGGCTGGCGGCACAGACAGGCCAGGCCGGGGCCCCTTGCCGTGACCGGATAAGTGCCTTGCGTCTGGAAGGGGACCTCGGTGATGGGAAGTGCAAGCCTGAGCTGGCGAAGGCGGGTTGGGACCCCGAGTGCGGGGCCGGGCGCCGCCTGCTCCCGCCTAACGCTGTGCTGTCTCTTGCAGCCCAACTCTCCCCGCCCTCGACTGGCAGCTGCCGTCGCGCTCGGGACCCTACGAGCTGAGGATGGAGGTGCAGCCCAAGTCCCACCACCGAGCCCACTACGAGACCGAGGGCAGCCGGGGCGCCGTGAAGGCGTCGGCGGGGGGCCACCCCAGCGTGCAGGTACCGGCATGCGCACCGGCCGCGTCTGAGCCCGGCAGCTTCCTTCCCTTCATTTCAGTTAAACTGCTGTCTCCCGACGGCCGAGCTCGCACTCTGTGTGCCCAGCTCTCTCCCCGGCCGCTGCGGTGCTGGGGCGGGGGCGCCCGGCGGTGGGGGGGGAGCTCTGGTGTCTGCAGCTTTCCGGTCGGCTGCCCTCACCGCACCCGAGACTTGTGTTAAAATGGGAACGTCTCTCCGTGAAACTCTGCTTCGGGGAGGCCGGCAGTGCCCGGACGCCGGGCCGCGGCGGGAGGACTGAGCAGATGCTGTTGCTGACAGGTGTCCGTTCCACTGGGGCGGCGGGGGGCCGGCTGTGACCGGTAGTGTGTGAGGGGCGGGCTGCGGAGCGTCCTCATGCAGACGGACACCGTCCCCAGCCCCGTGTCCTCCTGAGCAGTTGTGTTTGGCTCGGGACACACGGGGAGGAGACGAGACCTGTGGAGACGCCCGGGCTGCCCACTGTGAGGACCCGGGTTGCGGCCGGGCATCGTCTGCACTTCGTCATAGAAGAGAAAACTTAAATGCAAACTTGAAATTAAAAATGTTTATTGTGAGGACCCTTCTGGTAACAAACCTGCAGAGAGAGGTTGGTCGGACCCAGGGGGCAGCTCCGGCCCGCCCCCCGCCCACTGCAGGCCCCCCCATCGGGGTCCACGACCACCCCTGCCGCACGCTTGCTCAGAGCTGCCCCAGCCCCGCCACTGGGGACCCAGGATCCAGCGGACGCGCCCTCTGTCCTTCTGGCCTTGGCCCCTGAAGTGTTTGTCCTGAGGGTCCTCGGCGAACGGGGTGCGGGCCGAGGCCTGCAGGCCATAGCCCTCAGCTGCTCTGACCGCACGGCGGCCCGGAGCCGGCACAGGTCTCCCGGCCCGAGGCTGCCGCGCTGCCCGAAGCTCACGTCGCCTTCCCGGCGGTGCCTTCGGTTCGGGCATGTTGAGCAGTCGGTCGCAAGGACCGCATCTCCCCCCTGGAAAGCCTTGGGCCCTCTCAGGCGTGGCTCTCCAGGCTCGTCCCCGGACTGGCCTTGCCAGCCTCACCGGGAAACTGTGAGAAGCGCAGTCCCTGGTCCCCGAGCTGCCGAGCGAGTCCCAGCCCCGGGTGTGCCTGCGGTCCTGGCTGAGCGAGGACCTGCTGCGAGGGGCCCGGCGCAGGGCAGTGGCGTGTTCTGGCGGTCGGGGGGGTGGGCGGCCTGAGGGAGGGGCTGTGGACGGTGTGGCCGGGCGGGTGCGGGTGGGGGTGTGGGTGCCGTGGCAGCTGGGCGTCCCCCACACCTCACGGCTCCTCGGGGGTCTGTAGGTGGAGCCGGAGTCCCGCCAGGCACCTTGACGGGCTCCACGGGGCGGGCGACCTCTCCCATCCCAGGCCTGTCTCCTGGCTCCGCCCCCCGGGACTCACGCCTCTCCTAACCAGCTGTGAGTGCCCCCAGGTCCCTGATGTGACTGGTGACAGGCACGTTTTCCTCCAGTCGCTGCCTGACCCACCGCCCGGCCCTGCGCTCGGGGAGCTGCGCGTGAGGCCCGTGCTGTTCCACGGCGGGAACGGAGGGCTTGGGGGTGGGGTGGCGTGGAGCCAGCCATCAGGTGCCAAAGGAAGCTGCTGGGAGGGAGGCGCTCAGCCCCCTTGGGACCGTCGGTGGCCTTTGTGGCCGTGTGCTCGCTGACGAAACCTCCTCAGTCCGCCGCTCAGCTGGGCACAGCAGCCAGTGACACTTTAAGTTGCTGCCTTCCTGGGGGGAGCAAGGCACGAAGACGCCCGCGTCTGGCTGAGCTTTGCCTTCCTGGCCACGGTTTCCGTGGAACGAGAGCGCGTGGCTGCCGAGTGGGGGGACGTGGCAGCCGCACGGCAGCAGAGGGGGGAACGAACCGCCCGGCGGTCAGGTCGACGCCTGCAGGTGACGGCGGGGGGTCCCGGCCCGAGACGCAGGCGAACACCCGGGACGCAGATCCAGGGCCCCCCGTGGCTGAGCCTCCGCACGGCAGCCGAGGACCGTCCCACGCGGGGGACGCACGGAAGGCGGGTCTGCCTCCGCCCGGCCGTGTCCCGGGCCGTGAGTTCAGTGCCCGGGCAGGCGTCTCAGGGCCCGACCCCTTCTGGAGGGAACCGGAAACGCATCCTCAGGAGTCGCTCCTCTCAGGTGGCAGCAAAGCGGGAGGAGCTGGTCCTGCGCTTCGACAGAATGAGCCCTGCCCTCAGCTTCGTCCCCCCGTGGAAAACATCAGGCCGTCCGTCGGTCGGCAGTCACCCCCTGAGCGTTTCCGACCCCCGTGGCCAGGTGAGCTCACGGCCGCGCAGGCTCCAGACAGCAGCCGGAGAGAGGGAGTGTGGAGGGTGTCTCCTCCCGTGGTCGGTGGACGGCATCGGACGGAGACAGGATTTGTGCACAGTCGTGAAACAAGTGAACACAGCAGGCTCAGTCCACGGTCGTGACAGTGCGGTGACCGCTGGTTCCAGTCCCTCAGAAGCCGCTGCGTTGCCGTGCCTCTGCCGCGGCGAGGCCGCGGTTCTCCTCAGACCCCTGTCCCCAGGGAGCTCGAAGAGTCACCCACGAACCCGGGAACTTGTGCCGCTTAACGCGGGCTGTCCTCTGGGCACACTGTCCTCTGGGCACACTGTCCTCTGGGCACACGCAGCGGTTCCGACTTCCTTCCGCGATTCCAAGAGCCCGCCCGAGCTCGCCTGCAGGAGAAGACACCCAGGTGCCGAGCTCGGGGACGCGGCCCTTTCTCCAGCCCAGCGTCGGTCGGCCGGGCTGGCGTCTGGGAGCATCCGGGACCCTTCCCAGACTCTCGGGGTCACCACCGGTCCTGGGGGGGCTTTCTGGGATGTCTGGGGGTGCTCGCCTCCATCCCCCACCCATGCGCAGAGCCACCTGGCCCACCTCCGGTGCCCAGTGGGGACAGCGGGCTGGGCCTGGGCCCCCAGAGGGGGTTTGGGGGGAGGGGCGGTTTCCGTCCCCAGGGAGACGAAGGCCGCCTGGGCCTCTTCCAGCACTTTTACTGACAAACCAGAGAACCGTGTCCCTAGGGCCCCAGGGTCCCCTGCCACCCCCTCCTGCAGACCAGAGGGCCGAGGTCCAGGAGGCCGACAGGGTCACCGGGTGCCCACTGCTCACACCTGTCTTCTCTGCGTCCCCAGTGCCCCGTCCCCGTCACCCTCCTCCGCTGCCTCTGTCCCCAGAGTGCCACTCCCGAGTGCACAGGTGGGTGGGACTCTAGGAGCCTGTCTGGCGTGTCCCGTGTCCCTGCCTTGTGGTCTCTGACCCAGGGGTCAAAGGGTTAAGCTCTGTTTACCACGTCACCAAAGTAACTTTCTGATAGCATCTCGCCCGTCACACGGGAGGCCGGCGTGTGAATAATTAATAGGTCACAGAAGCACGAGACAGGGCCCAGGCCCCGTCGGTTCCTGAACAGCATGTTGGTCTGCGTTCTGGTTGGTGACCCTGGTCCGACCATGGAAGGTGACCCTCGCCCCCGAAGGCACCAGCCCACCAGCAGGAAGGGCGGACTCTCTGTCCCCGTGGAGCAGGACAGATATGTTTCTGTCACACAAGACTTGGGGGAGCCGAAGCCACAGAGCAACCACAGCAGGAACGGCTTGCGCTCTGTCCGGCGGTGGAGGCCGGCCTCCGGCGTCGGGCTGTCACCGCCTCCAGTTGGCGGAGGGCCTTCCCTGGGCTCGGAGGGGCGGCTGCAGACGCGGCCGTTCCACTCCCTGTCCCGTCTGTCTGCACTCGAACGCAGATGCTAACCTGGGACCCAGGGTTTTCTCAAAAGCCAGAGAAGGGCATTGTTACTGGAGTGAATTACGGTTTGACGGCAAACCGCAGCCCCATCTTGGAGCCTGGCCCCCGAGACCCGGGGCACTGCAGGTCTGCTCAGGGCCCTGCTCAGAGCTAAGGCCGCACCGTGACCTGAAACACGGCTCTGACCCCAACCGGCCCCGCCGGCCCCAGCCCGTGCTCCGCGGGCCGGCGCAGGGCACCGACTGGTTTTCGTGGGTGGGCCTCGGCCGCCGGGCATCCGCCCCCTGCCCTTTCACGACTCCCAGGTCGCCCGGCCGCCTTCTTTGCTGCTGCTCTGTGTGTGCGGGAGAGGCTCTGGGTGGGGGCCACGTCCTCTCCTGAGCTGCTGGTCCGTGACTGCCCCTGAGTGGTGTGGGCTGGGGGTGCCGGAGGGCCCGCTGACCCGCACCCCGGTCGGGTGGGAGACACCACACGCCAGCGGCTGGCCACGGTCTCCCCTGTCCCCCAGGACACGGGTCTGCACACAGACCTTGCTGTGTCAGCACACACAACCAGCTGTGCGGTGGCCATCCAGTGTGCCGGGTGCCAGGAGGGGGCCACCGATGGCGTTGCCCTGTGGGGTCCCTGGGGCCCCGTGCCTGCTTCGGCTTTGGGGCCAGCCCTGCCGACTCTCCTTTGGGTCACGAAGGGCCAGCCTGGCTTCCAGAAGGCCCCTCGGTCCACCCCGTGCACCCGGGAATGACCTGCTGGCCCTTCAACTGTGGCAGGTGAACCTGTGCTTAAATGCAACTCCCCCACCGTCTCGCCGGACAGGGACTCCGGGGGCTGAGGAGGAGGGGGCTTCGGAGCACAGTGGCCGAGTGAGGGGACCGCATGCGCCTTGCCTGCCAGCGACTGCCCCAGCCGCGCAGTGCAGCCTCCGCCCACGCATGGCTGTCTCCCCTGAGCGTGAGCCAGGCCGGTGGAGGCTTGGCGCGGTGACCTGTGAGGGGGGCCGGCCCTGCAGCAGGGCCCCTGTGCCTGGTGTCCGGTCTGGTCCCAGTGCCAGGGGCCGTCCCGCCAGTGGGAGACCTGTGCCTTCTCCGACCCTGGTGACTTCCAGGGGCCTCAGGGACGGCAGTGGCGTCCGAGGGAGCACAAGGCGCCAGCGCTTGCCTGGGGAGTCAGGGCGTGTCCTGGTTCACAGACGGGCCACTGTGCCCATTGACACGCAGCCGGCCACCCTGCTGGGGCCCTAACCACACTGCTCACTGCACCGGTGCCCACACAGCACACACCGCCTCTGAGTTCACTGTCTGAGTGGGGTTTTCCCCATGGAGTTGCTCTGGGCGTCAGTGAGGGACGCAGAGGTTACGCCTGGGCCGCACACAGACTCTCTCTGCGCGGACGCCGTGCGAGGACTTCCCTGTGTGTGCGTGTGTGCGTGTGTGCGCATGCATGTGTACATGTGACCAACTCAGGACTGCTGGTTGGAAAGTGACCCGTGTCACATGTCACACGTGTCAAACATGGACATGTGCACGTGTTTGTGGGGCATGTGTCTGCGTGTGTGGGTGTGTCGGTGTGGACGTGTGCACATGTGTGTGCGTGTGAGCATGTGTGCGAGCTCGGCGTGAGTCTGAGCCCCGAGCTAACTTGGCCTGGATGGCGGCCTCGCCAGCCGTGCCCGGTGAAACTGCTGAGCTCAGCACAGGAGCTAAAAACAAACACTTGTGAGGGGCCCTTGGGACGGCGTGATGCAGGGTGCTGAGCGAGGAGAGGCCGTCGCTGTGACAGGCGACTCCGTGATCTTGTCTTGACAGAAGCGGTCGTGTGCCAGAGGCAGAAAACCGTGCGGTTTGACGCACGGAGTGTTTAAATTACTTTTCTTAAAATGAACTTCACGCTTTAAATAATAGATGTTTACCTTCCAAGTCAAATGGCACACATTCCAATTGTCCCTGAAATGACATGTTTTTAAGAGGCTAGAGTTGTGCCCACAATCCGGTGCCCGGCACACACCGTCCCCACGGAGGGTCCCGGGGGGTTCAGTTGTCCAAACCACGTGACCCTGGTGCTGACGGGGGCCCACGGGGCTGCCTCCTGACCCCGGGGACCCACCCGGGCCACACGAGACGAGGTTTTGGCCAAAGAGTCGTCCACCGAGCACGTTCCTGCCCCGACCTTTATGGGACGCCACACGGAAGGGCGGCTTGGTCTCCCGATCAGCCTCCGGCTCGGCTTCCGCGTTTCCCATTGTGAGGTGCGGGTCTGGCTGACGTGGGATCGGGTTCCTCTGAGTTCACCAGGTGGCCCAGCCCCCAGCCCGGGGACGGGAGGGGCGGCCCGGGCAGCGGTTGGGGCAGCGCGTGTGCCTGTGCATGGGTGCGTGCACATGTACAAGTGGGCACACGTGTGCACACATGTGCTGGAACGCAGGCACCGAGAGCCCAGGGCATGGGGGTCCGGAGGTCTCTCCAGGCTCCTGGTTCCATCGACGCCGAGAAGCAGCGGCCGGAGCGGGAGAGGCCGACGTGAGCTGCTGCCCCAGGTCCCCTCCTGAGCTCGCCGCTGCCTGTGCAAGTCAAGTTGACCCCGAGCGGGTTGGGCGCTGAGCCGGCTTCCCTTCTCTCGCCAGCTCCACGGCTACCTGGAGAACGAGCCCCTCACGCTGCAGCTGTTCATCGGGACGGCGGACGACCGGCTGCTGCGGCCGCACGCCTTCTACCAGGTCCACCGCATCACGGGGAAGACGGTGTCCACCACCAGCCACGAGGCCGTCCTGTCCAACACCAAGGTCCTGGAGATCCCGCTGCTGCCGGAGAATAACATGCGCGCCAGGTAAGCCGCCGCCGCCACCCGGCCGGGGCACTTGGGGGCCAGTCAGTTCGTCCTCCCCGGCCCTGGCGCCCAGCTCACCAACCTCACACACACTCAGGACGAGTTCCTTCTCCCGGGCTTCAGGCCCTGTGCATGTTGCCACCGAAATACGTACTCGGTTCTGCAGCCGAGATCCCCCCCCCTGCACTGTGCTGCACTCAGCTCCCAGACATGACAGCAAATTAGAGGGACAGTGACCGGGGACCGTGCAGACAGTGGGCGGTCGGCGAAGACTCTGTTGGGTCGCGTCCTTCTGAGCCCTGTCACGCTGTCAGCTCAGGCTCCCTTGTTTGGAGGTGAATTCGTTGTGAACGGGCTGTTCACATGGATGCGCTGAACCCCCGAATTCACCCGGCACACGCTGTGCGGGTCACACCCGAGCTGTGGGCGCTGCAGAGAAAGAGAAAGCCGTCCCACGGGGGTCTGCGTCCTGTCGGGGCCCTGGGGTCCTGTGTGGGAGCGCCTGGTGGCCACCGAGGGTCAGAACCCGGGGTGGGCAGCAGGGCGCAGGGAGACGGTGCGGGAAGGACCTGGGGCAGCGGACTCCGGGGGGGCCACACTCTGTAGGACTTCAAACCCTGCACGTGGGGAAAGCAGGGAGAGCTCCCTGCCCACGTCCGCTTTTCCCGGTTTGAGGGCATTCGTGCGCCTCCGGCTCAGCCCTTGGGTCTGCTTGGAACTGCAGTCAGCTCCCCAAGGGCCATCCAGCCGGTGTCGGAGGCCCCAGCTTGGCGGCATTACCTGCCTTGGCTGGGAACTCGCCAGCCACCGCGCGTCCCACCGCAGGCCCGGCGCTGCCTCCTCACGGCTTCCTGAGAGGAAAAGTATCGGTTTCCACCCGGCAGGCTGTCCGCGGCCTGCTCTGCTAGTCTGGTGTTCAGGGCAGTTAAACAAAAGCTCAGAACGTTCACTCAGACGGTGAGCTGAGTGATGGCGCTGCTGCCAGAACCCGAAATAAAGGGACTGTTGGGAGCACCGCTAACACTGGGCTCCCAGACAGGCGGCAGCTCTGGGCTCTGGGCTCCTGTGGCCACGTCCAGCTCGGCCATGCGGCAGGGGAGCGTCTGGGCGGGTGGTGGAGGGGCGCCGTGGCGAGGGGGGCAGGCAGGCAGCGTGGCGAGTGGGTCCCGCCCTCGGGGTGCTGCCCTCCTGGACAGGCGGGGGGCAGCTGTCTCCCGGAGGCGGGGGGCAGGGCCCAGCAGGCAAGCGCCCTCCCGTTCTGTCCCGCAGCATCGACTGCGCCGGGATCCTGAAGCTCCGGAACTCGGACATCGAGCTGCGCAAGGGGGAGACGGACATCGGCAGGAAGAACACGCGAGTGAGGCTGGTGTTCCGGGTCCACATCCCACAGCCCGGCGGCCGCACGCTGTCACTGCAGGTGGCCTCCAACCCTATCGAGTGCTGTGAGTGCCCGTGGTGGCAGCGAGGGGGCCGGGCTCGGAGGCGTGGGAAGGGCCCGGGGTCCGGGGCCCAGCGCTGACCCGGGTCGGGGGGGATACAAGTGAAAGCAAGCTGGCCGAGAAGCACAGGGGTCAGCAGTGGTCGTGCCTACACTGGTTCCCTTCCAGTTCAGGGGTGATGGGGAGGTGCTGCCTGCAAGCCCAGTGCCCCCCAACATTCCTGGTGGTCCAGGTCTCACGTGGGGCAGGGTCCTCTTCCTTGGAGTGAATTTGCTCATTACTGTGAGTGAAGTGGGCACCCCTTGTCCCACAGCCTCCGCCCTGGCCGAGGGCGGGACCCCACGCCGCATCTGTTGGGGTCCCCCCCAGGCAGCTCTGCAGGCCTGGCCGCCATCAGAACCAGTCCTTACCCCAAAGCCCCTCCTGCTCCCCCGCCTCCGCATGACCCCACCCACCCCAGGTCCGGGGTCTCGGGGAACACACCTGTCCTCTCAGCTCACCTGCCCCCGGTCCAAGCAGCAGTTTGCTTCCTTTGCTGCTACTCTGGGACTTGGGCGGGGCCCCTCCTCTGGGAGACGTGGGCCGACCACCTGCCCTGCCGCATCCCCACCTGGCAGACGCCTGCGCCCCACCCTGCGTCCTTTCTGTGGTGCGGTCTCCTCGGTGGGCACAGTGTGGGGGGGGACCCTCGGGACTCTGCGAGGACCCCGGGGCATGGCTTCCGCCCTTCGGGACAGTGTGGCCACTCCCTGCATCGGGAGGCGTGACTGCCCGCTGTCCCTTTAGGGTCACGCCGTGCACGCTGGTCACTGGAGGAGCCGTTCGGAGGCACCGGGTCCCCGAAGGGCTGGCCCTCTGGGGGGCATCGGGACCGGGAGGCGGTGGCTCTGTCTCACTGGCCTGCCTGTCCCTGCAGCCCAGCGGTCGGCCCAGGAGCTGCCCCTGGTGGAGAAGCAGAGCGTGGCCAGCTGCCCGGTGCTGGGCGGGAAGAGGATGGTCCTGTCCGGCCACAACTTCCTGCAGGACTCCAAAGTCGTCTTCGTGGAGAAAGCGCCAGGTACCTTCCCGGAAACTGCCCCTCATGTCTCCCCTCTGGGGCACCGTGGGGAGGGTCTCGGCGGCCGAGGCGGGCGGCCTGCATGTCAGTCCATGTGTGCTGGGCAGGGACGGGCCTGCAGCTGGGGTCACGTCTCTCCACACGTGTTTGTGCCCACACAGGGCTGATTTCGGGAGTGACCAGGCCCGTCCTCACGGGCCACCGCTGTCAGGGGGGCTGTGGCCAGGGCCACCTTAGAGTGCTTGCTGTCCCCTGGGGTGCTGTGTGGCCCGTGCCCGGGCCGGGCAGGCACCGCCGGCACAGACCGGCACTTTCCCGGAGTCCGACTGATGGAGATGGGGCTCCGGGTGCAGAGTGGCCGCAGGGTCCCCTGTGGGACCCGCGATCGGGTCCACAGGCCTTTCCAGTCCCCCCGCGGGTCGGCGCCCACACAGGGCACTGCTCTCTTTGTGACTTGAGCTCGTGCCGACCCCTCCGTGTGGGCCAGCGCGGGCCTGTGTGCCGTGCTGAAGAAGGAGCTGTGGGTGCGGCTGAGGCGGGAACACGGCGCAGACGCTCTGCCCCTGGAAGGGGGGGGCGCACGGTGCTGCCGAGGCCCCAGTGCTTGGAGCCGCCTGCGCCCGGGGGGGGGGCGAGCGGGGCCTGCAGGTGGCCCGGCGGGTGGCCTGTTTCTCCTTTGTCACACGTCCCACCTGGCAGTTTCCCGAGCGCACGGGGGCAGGACTCGGGCTAATCACTGGGAACCGCGGAGGCATTCAGCCTCCATAATGGGTCTTGATTTTGTGCAGTTTGCAGGGAAATTAAGTGCTTCAATCAGAATGGGCTTGAAAGGCTTTCCCGTCCACCGTGGTCTCTGCCTCTGTAATCACGCACGTAACTGGGAAACGCGTCTTAAATTACGGAGGAGACCCAACGAAGTGGAACGACGAGGACGGGAATTTGAGTTTCTGGAACACGCCCTTCTTTGGAGGACGTTAATTTTGAAGCAACTTAACCTTTTGCGCTGTAGACGTGCGAGCACCCGCGGCTGAGGCAGGAACGGGGCTGTGGCGGCGAGACCGCGCTGGGTAGTGCCTCACGGAGGGGCGGGCGGGTCGGCTTCCTCGCTGCTGCCTGCCGGAGGCCGCTCTGCCGCCTCGGGGTGCGGACCGAGGCCCCCCCGAGGGTCTTTGCCGGCCGTGGGAGCCCCCAGCGCTCCCGCTCCCAGGGGCCGCGCGGGGGACTCGGTCTCGGCGTCTTCCCGTTGCGGCCTCACCGGCGCAGCGCCCCTCGGAGGTCGGCCACCAGCCCTCGGTGCGGGGAGCTTAGCTTAGGAATGTGCAGCCGTCCTCACCCGGGCCCGGGGGCTGCCCTGGATGGGAGCCAGGCTCTGCCTCGCCGGCACGGGGGGCTCATCACCCACCCCCCCGTCTCCTGCAGCAGCTGGGCGTCCGTGCGAAGGTGAAACACAAACAAGTGGCGTCGAGCAGACGTGACTTAAACGCTCTGCACCTGGGACATGGGAAAGCAGACGTGGCAGTCACACCTCTGACACGCCGGTGGCCCGTGTACGTCTGTGCACGTCCCATGTTTGTCCCATGTTTGCAGACACGCCAGAGCCCACATCTCCTCCCTGGCTCTGGGCTGGGGGCGCCCTTCCCCAACCAGTCCCTGTGCGTCCCCTGGTGAGTCACTCAGATGAAAACGGGGTTCGCCTCCGGGTGTCCAGCGAGGCCACATGGCCCCTTTTAATGTGACCTTTAAACCGCTGCTGGGGGCGCCCTGGCCATGTGAGTGGTCGATCCTGGCTGCCTGCAGCGCCAGCATCGGTGTGGGAGCCTCGCCGAGTGGCTCCCACCGGCATCACCCTGCCCGGGGCTTCCCCCGATCCCAGCAGGGCCGCCCAGGGCCCACAGGGACTCCCGGGGCAGACGCCCTGGCGGATGCTGCTCGGGCCCCCGGGTCAGCGAGGGCGGCGGGGACCTCACGAGAAATGTCACGAAGGGGGTGCCGCGGGGCTGCTGCTGGCGGGAGGCCTGCGGTTTCACTCTCACTGAAGCCGCAGGAAAAGCCCCGGCGTCGAGACAGCCTGCCAGTCGGGCCCCGGCCTCCTGTGCAAGGACTGGAGTCCAGGCGTGGGGACCCGCAGGGTCAGATGGGGACGCACAGATGTCCCCCAGTGAGAAGCGAGGCCCTGCACAGCACCTTCGGATGTGTGGACGGGGGGCTGGTGCACGCCCTCCCCGAACTCAACAGGGCCGGGGACCTGCATGTCCCGCCCCCGGGCACAGGAGCCTGTGGCTCGGACGTGGTCCTGAGACGGGAGAGAAGGCCGAGGGGCGAAGTCGTGAAACCGCAGCGAACTCCTGGTGCCAGCGCTGAAAATGGCTCTTTCCTGCCGAGTCCCCTGTCCGTCCGGAGTCGGGGACCGAAGCCTGTCTCACTCCTTTCGCTGTGAGACACGTGTCACCAGATACCACTCCATGCACGGGTGACTGTGTGCGGGGCCGAGACAGGGCCATTTCTGGGGCCGCCGCCAGCTGGCCAATCCGCTGGGGCCCGATGCAGCCTTCCTCTGAGGACAGTCTCGGGGCCCCCACCCTTCTTCAGTCCCCTCGGGCTCTCCCTGGGTGCCAGGACCACGGCTGGGGGCCCCTCGGGTCCCAGCTGGCCAGAGCTGGGGGAGGCCCCGGAGGGCTGGACATGGAGGTGCACACCCCATCTGGGCCCCACTGACCGCCCCCCACTGTCCAGACCACTTCCCTTTCACAACCCGGCCAGCAGGCGCTCAGACCCCAGGCCGAGGTCCCCAAACCGACGTGGACAGACCCAGCCGCCGCCCAACACAGCTGGGCCGGAGTTCTCCTCCTCCCGGTGGGGGCCTCCCCCGCCCGTCCCTCCGTCTGCGGGTGGGCCCAGCTCATCTCTCTGTGGGGGTCCCCCACGCCCGTGCGCCGGCCCTTGGCCACACGGACAGCCCCCACACGCCTTGCGCCTCCGCCGGGTCCTCCTCACACCGAGCTTGTCTGTGTGGGAGGCGGGCACCAGCCCCAGAGGCCGCGGCAAGCACCCCCCCCCCCGCGTGAAAGCAGGCGCTGCTGTGGAAGGGAGCGGGCGGGGAAGACGTGTGGCGTGCGAAACCCCCGCACGCCGGCAGAAAGGCAGCGCCCGCCGTTCCCTGAACTGCAAACCAGGCCGCACCCCAGCCCAGAGCCCGGGGCTCAGCCCGGCCCCGAGGAGCACTCCGCCTCCAAAGCCTCAGGGTCGGGCCCCTCCCCAGGGCAGCCCCGGGGGGGCTGGCCTCACGTTTGCAGCCCCCGGAACAGAAGGAACCAGAGGGGCCTTCACTCGGCGTGGCGCTCGCCGAGGCCCGGCCGAGGGAGACACGCCACAGTGTTGCCTCCTTAGGGGTGAGCTGTCACGGCACAGGCGTGCGGGCGGCGTCCTCGCCACGGGGACACGTGTGGGGGCAGGTGAGGCCCCGTCGTCCGGACACCCGGACCTGAAGGGCCAGTTTAGGAGGAGCAAGCAGTGTGTGCAGGGCGTGTGTGAGCCGAGTGTGGGCGTGCACGGCTGCGGGTCAGGGTGTGTGCCTGTGAGGACCCCCCACCTCGCAGCCTCACGGGCGGCGGCCCCTCGCCTGGCCGCACTGTGCGGGCAGTGACCCCTGGCGGCCTGGGTGCGCTGAGCTCCCCCTGCCCGGCCTGCTCCCAGCTGGGCCCCGGCCCACGCGGGTTGTGTTTCGCCCGCCCGGGTCATCCAGCTGGCGCTCGGGCGGTGATGACGCAGCCCGGCTGGGGCCGCCCCTCCTGGGCGTGTCCCGGGCTGGGGCTGGGCAGAGCCCTGACCTGCATTCGGCCTTGTGGCCTCGGAAAGACTTGGGAAAACTCTGAGGCCGGCGCCGCAGCCTGTGGCGCGGCTCCCTCGCCAGAAGTCCCGGCTCGGGTGAGGGAGGAGCCCTCCCCTTCCAGGCTTTCCTGGAGCTGACCTGGGAAAGGGGCAGGTGATGTCTGTGCCCTGGCACCGGGCTTGCCCAACTGTGTCACCTCCCCACAGTCTCAGGTGGAGGGGGAGCCATGGGACCCCGGCCTGGGGGTCGTGGCAGGCGGGGTGTCCCCAGGGGGCTGTCCCTGTGGGTCCCAGAGCCCTGCTCCCCGACACGGCAGCACTCGGGTCCTTGGAGACCCCGGGGAGCGTCAGCACGCAGCATGATGGGTGTGGCTTCAGCCCCACCCAGGGGCCTCCCTCCCGCAGGGCTCTCCTGTGGGGACCAGGCTGGCCTGCCAGGGTAGACCTGGGAGGGGCGTGGGCAGTGCGGCTGCTGGTCTGGAAGGGGGCTCAGCGAGGCCTGTGTGTCCCCCAGACCCTCCCCCAGGGCACGGGGACGGGTGGAGGACACGGGTGGCTTGTGCCACTGGCCCGGGTGTGGCAGGAGGGCCTTCCCACAGGTACCCACTGGGGTTCCCAGAACCAGACCGGAGGCCCCTCCACTTCCTCCAGTGGCTGTCACCCAGACTGCTCCCTTGGAGGCACAGCCAGTCCCTCATTTTTTCTGATTTGCCCCAAACCACACGGCTCTTGCTCTAGGTTCTGCCCCAAGGCAACTTCAGAAGGTCGGTCGTGGCCCCTCCCGGGTGGAGAGGGTTGGTGGGCCCCTCGCTCCCGGGGGTGGGGCACAGCGGGGCGCCTGGCCTCAGCTCCTCGTGTCCCCCGGGTTTCCCCGCATGGCCACGCCCCTTGCACTCCTGCGGGAGGACGCATTTTTCACCGAGGCTCCGAGACACACAGGCCCTGGCTCCCCACAGCTCCCCTGTCCACGTTCCGCGTTTGGGTCACTCAGGGCCAGGCCAGCCGGGCAGGAACCCCAGACCCAGGCGAGGTCGGCTCAGCCCGGGGGTGGGACCCTGTGTGAGAGCTGTGCCCCTTGGGGGTGGACAGCGCCCGTGGTACGGCGCTGCTTGTTCAAGTCAGTGGGTGGGCGTCAGGGTGGCGTCTGCTGTTTGCCGTGCTCAGAGCCACCACGAGCGTCGGTGCCCACGTTTCCGTGGGGACGAGCGCATTCCTTCCCGGGCGCGGTCCTGGGCCTGCAGGTGCTGGTCTCGTGGACGCCCCACGTTTGACCGTCTGAGGAGCCGCCAGGCCAGGTCCCATGTGGGGGGGCCCTTCTTTCCACTGCAGCCTCTGGGCCTGGCAGCCTGGACCAGCAGCTCTGGGGGGAGCTGCCCAAGTGCGAGGCCTGCCAAGGGTCCCGGGGACAGAGGCAGCGAAGCCGAGGGGCCACTAGATGTGCACCCTTGACCAGTCCCGAGTCCCAGGGCCCCGCACCCAGTCCCCACGCTAGCCCCGCAGCTCGTCAGGCCTGGCGTGAGCTTCCGGCCTTGCTCCGTGGCAAGGTGACCGCCCGTGTGCATGTCACACAGCCGCCTTCCCGGCAGCCAGCTGCCCGGCGTCCTGCAGGGCCCGCTCAGCCACACAGGCCGTGCTCACCGAGTACCCAATGTGCAGGCCACACACGTGTCTCAGGCCCCGTGAACAAGTGTGCGGCTCACTCTTGCGGCCAGCGGGCCACCAGGAGGAGGAGGTAAGGCATGGCCGTGGCCGAGGGCCTGAGTAGCCCAGGTCCCTGGGAGCGGGTGCCGTGCAGGCTAAACCCAGGACTGTCTGCCCCGGGCACTTGGTTGTCTCCATGCCTGCTCTGCCACTGGCTGCGTGATGCTCACAGCTCTAGGGTTCACACCAGGCTCTCGGCACCTTCTCCGCTCGGCCGGAAGCCAGTCTCATGGCCAGAGAAGAAGCCCGGGCCAGGGTCCCAGGACATCTTGGGGAGGCTAGGGTCCCCCACTGGGCCCGGGCAGCCCGAGGTGTGTGACAGCCCCCCTGCCTGCGGGGAGGAGGCTGCACCAGCCCGAAGGCCGCGGAGGGAGGCTCCTGGCGGGTGTGGCGGGGAAGCCTTTCCGATGACTCACGCCGCAGGGAATTCCCTAATGACTGGGAATATTTTTACTTCTGGGCTTGTGCACAGTTTCCTACTGCGAGCCCAGCGAGCCCCTGATAAGGCGGAACACAAAGGCCCATTCAGGCCGGTTTCCCTTCCCAGTGGAGCCGCAGCTGGGAGCAACACCCAGGCCTGGCTGGGGCTCTGCAGGAGGGGGCGGCCCTGGGCTGGGCGTGGAAGCGGGAGCCCAGCCCTGTGGCTCCTTTGCTAAGAGTTTGCAATTAGCCGGCTGTAGCTGGCTCAGTGCTGCCTGCCCCGAACAATGGCCTGTGTAAACAGACACGGTGTTTGAAAGGCATCTTCTTGTTCGGGATCAGCTCCGCCCCTAAACCCCTTGGGCTGTGGATCAGCCACAGACAGGAAGAGCCTGGGGCTGGCGGTCAGGCCGCACTGGGGCCCGGGCTGTGAACAGTGCGCGCACTTCGCGGGTGTGAGGGGCAGGGCTCGGGCGTGTCTGCGTGTCCCTCTGTGCTGGTGGGGCCCTGCCGCCGAGGGACCTGCTCGTGCAGTGGCTGCGATGCGGTGGCCAGGGCCCCCGGGAAGGCAGCTGCTCTCAGGAGCCCCAGGCACTGATTCCGTTCGAGTTGTTTCTTCCTCGAGGTGACACGCGCACTGACCCCCGCGTCCCTGTCTTGTCCACCGGTGGTGCACACGCACTGGGCCGGCGTCCCCAGGGCCTGGGGTGGCCCAGTGTCCCTGTGACTCACGCTTCCTTTCTGTCTCCGCCTCCACCCTGCCCGGCAGGCGCTGGGAGGGAGGAAAAGGAGAGTTTGTCTAATTTACTTTGTGTTAGAATTTGACACACACGTTTCTTCCGTGAAAACAAGGCCTGAGTAGAAGCTGATGCTTGTGGAGGAAGCGACTTGAGCGAAGACAAAGGGGGCGGGGTCTCTGGGGGCATCTGTTAGCTCAGAGTCGCTGCACAGCTGGCCCCAGGGGCTGCCCTGCACCGGCCTCCGGGTTGCCGAGGGTCCGGTGGCTGGGGGGCTTGACCAGCCTCCCTGGGGGCCGGCCCAGGCACAGAGCCTTTCTACGGCTCCCTTCGGGACACTTCTTTTCTGTAAGCGTGTGTGTTTTTTTAAACATGTCACCACGCCCACTGCATGGGTTGAAATGCCGTGGGTTTTGCATTTCTGTGTCTTGACACGGCAAAGACAGGACTTTCATGTCTCGTGTCTTCCCCGCGGACCTGGCTCTGGGGGTCCTGCTCGCTGGAGTAACTCCGGTCCCCAACGGTGAGAGGGCACGGCGGGCTCGAGGCCGCCCTGCACCCAAGAACTGGGGCTGGCGGCAGAGAGTCAGCACTCAGCCTGGTTCCGGGTCCGAGGAACTGCCCACAGTCCTCCAGGGCTCGAGCTCCCTGTGGGTGGTGTGTGGAAACCCTCCCCTGGCTGATTCGGGGGGCGACGTCGGGTAGGGGGTGACTTCTGGGGGGGCCCTGGCTGCAAGGCTGTGTCTTCAGGCTCCGCCAGGGTGTCTGCGCCCAAGTTTGTGCGTGAGCCCCCAGACCCGCCCCTCCCGGCCTGGCGCCTGCGATCTCCCACACAGGGGCCGAACCCCCTGCTGTCGCCGGTCACCGCCAGGCGGCAGAGCCAGGCAGGGCCGGGCCCCCCACCCAGAGGCTGTGTTTTCCGGGGTGCACTCCTTCAGGCCCCCGAGTAACGGACTTCTCGCGCCCCTCTGTCCTAGACGGCCACCACATCTGGGAGATGGAGGCGAAGACCGACCGGGACCTGTGCAAGCCGGTGAGTGCCACGCTGACGCGCTCACGGGGGCGCCGGGCATGTCCTGGGGTCGCCGAGCTGGAGCGGGTTCCCGGGGAGGCTGTGGTTGTGGAGAGCCCGGTGGAATAGCAGAAAGGGTGAGGGCACCGCATGGTGTCCTCAGGAGGCCCCCAGAGGAGGCGGCACAGGGGCAACCGCAGAGGACCAGGCTCCGAGGAGCTTTGACCTCCCCACAGGCCTGGGGCAGCTCTGGCCCCGCAGGCAGGACGGGCGCATAGGTGCCCGTGGCCCTCCGCCATCATTGCCCCCCAGTCCCCCACAGGGCCCGCTGCCTCCCCCAGGGAAGCCGCTGCTCCAAGCACCCAGTGGGTGCCGCACCCGCCGGGGCGTGCAGGTGGCTCGGTTCACCAGCGCCCTGGCGCCGACATCCTGCCTGTCCTCCCAAGAACACCCACCGGGTACCAGGCTTGTCTTGGACATGAAATGGCTGCCCTGTGCCTTTCGAGCTGGCCTCCCCGTTTGCCGGTTAGCAGGCGGGCCGGGGCCCGGGGGACACCTGCCCCGGTGGGGGGGAGTCGGGGCCGCCCACCTGGGCCTCGGGCCTGCAGGTGGCAGGCTTTTTTGGTGCCTGAGACATAGTGACTGTTTCTCTGATTCACGGAGAGGATTTCCAGTCCGAAACCTCAGACCTCTCCTGGCCCTCATTCGGGCTCGGCCTGGGCCGCCTTTCTCAGCCCCTGCGCTGGCCGTCTGTGCATCGGGGTTTCAGGAGAGCCCCCGCAGCCCACCGAGCTCGGTCTCTGTCCCCGACAGAGCTGGTACGTGGTGTCGCCCGGCAGGCGGTGCTCAAAGTGATGATTAGCAGCTGCCGAGAAGGCGTGGTTTCCACTCGGTCCTGGAGCAGTGGCCGGAGCCTCGGCCGATGGGAGACGTGCAGTGGCCGCCAGGGGCTGGTTGAGGAAACCCAGGTTCCTCCAACTCTGTAGCACATTCCCTGGGGGGGTGGCAGGACGCTCCTCTCCCAAAGTGACAGTGCAGGACGCACGGGGCCTGCTGAGCCCAAGCTGGCACTTGGCCCTCGAATGCCATCTGTCCCAAAAACTGTTGGAGAAGCAGTTTGTTTGCAAACCGAATCCTCTGCGTCTGTCGCCTGAGGGACGCATGACTCACGCGGGGTTTTCGGGTAGAGAATCAAGACTCAGGCTTTTATCCGAGACCTGAGACATTTTTCCTGTGACCCAGTCAGTCATGAACCAAAGTGTGTGAGAGCCGGGGTTGCACCGGACTCGATCTGGGGCCCCCCCGTGGGTCCTGCTCAGTGCAGCTCCGTGAGCAGCAGACCCGGATGGTGGGCTGGGCCGAAGCGGTCTGGTGACTGCTGGCCACCCTGTGGTGGGGGTCCCCGTGTCACAACAAGGGGGTCTCACAGTGGTCTTGGAGGTGGCGCCACACTGGTGGCTGCCGCTGTGGCTCTGCGGGCACGAAGCGTCTTCCCCGGTGACTCAGCTCCCTCTTCCACGCCCCACCCACGAGGCGGAGCCTGCAGAGGGCTGTAGGAGGGGATGGGCCCCCAGCCCTTGGGCGGCAGTGTTCCGAGCGCCGAGTGGGGGACACGCAGCTCCCTCCTGCCCTCGCTTCCTGGGAGCCCGAGGACCAGCCGGAGCCCCGCTTCCGGACAGGGGCCGCCCGACCCCGCGGGCTCTCGAGCTGCAGAGTCAGCGCAGGCTTGTCGTAAACAGACACCGGGCGGCTGCAGAGGCCACCCTGCGCCCAGGGTCCCCCCGCCCTCCTCCCCCCAACGCCCCGCCTCCCTGCTGCGCCTCCCGGCTCGCACTTGCCCTGCGGCGCCCAGCGGGCGTGCCTGCCCACCCAGCAGAGACCCGCCTCGTCTTTGCAGGATCCGGTCTTCTGTCACGGGGGTGTCTTTTTCACTCCGAGTAGTCACCTGTGTGACGGGCGTGTGGCAGTTCTCGGAGTGTTGGGAAAGAAACGACATACGCCCGGGCGACACAGACTTTCTCACCACCTCGCCCTCGTCTCTTCGATGAGGGCTCCCCCCGAGGTTTTTTCCAATTGTGAAAAGAACGCCTTGCTCACTGGGGCATCGACGTGGTGTGTGCGTGTCTGTGTGCACGCTCACACGCACGGCCACGCATGCGTCGTAGTGTGTATGTTTTCGCACAGTGGGACCGTCTGCGGTTCCTCCGCTCTCAGGGGCCGTGCAGGCGACGGCTGTTGGTCCAGTGAGGCCTGTGCCGCTCTCGCCCCGAGTCACGGTCCCCCTCACTCCCATCGCTGCCTCGCCTCTCCTCCCAGTGCATCTGGGAAATGGGCCCCCAGCGTCGAATGGCTCCAGGGGCCCTCCACACCCTCCTCCCTCCTCTCCTCTCCTTCTGCTCTCAGCAGAAGAAGAGGGAACTTCTCCTGCCTCCCTGTGTGGAGGCCCCACGACGGGCAGCCGAGTGCCAGGCCCGGCTTCCCCTGCAGGGCCTCCTTCCTCACGCGTGGGCCGTTGGGGCACAAGCCCTGAGGGGCGTCTCGGTCCCGATCTCCACTCGCCGGGACCGACGGGAGGCCCGGACTCCAGCGGGTCAGAGCCGGGCTGCAGGTGCCCACAAGCGAGGCCTCGGGCAAGGGCCCAGCTCTCCGCCGACGCTGCCTGCACGGCCCCTTTGGCTTGTGGTTATTTTTGGTGAAGGGGTGACAGGCATGGGCAGGAGACGGTGCTTCTGTTTGTTCTAAGTGACGGGAGTTTTTAACACCGTGAACATGCAGCACAGAGCCAGCGAGGCCCCGGGCACACCTCCCACGCACCCTCGGCAGAGGCCTCTGTGCCGCAGTCTCTTCGCCTGCCACGAGAAGAGGCTCGGCCTGGGCTTGTCTCCATTTTTCCTTTGCAATGTTCTTGAGGTTCCATTATTAACACGATTCAATCAATTCTGCTATTAATCTGGGGAACAAGCTACAATTACTTCAGCAGAAAAAGTTGTACAATGGATTTTTCTTACACACTTTCTCTACTTGTTAACTGAAATAGACGACAAAAACGGAAGGAGCTTTTGGATGTGAAATGTTTGCCCACATCCCGAAATCCGGAGTGGCTCCCCCTCCTCCCGAGGTGCAACCATGCAGAGCACATGGTGCTGGCTTATTGGGGCCCCTGGGGGCGGCTCAGTGCCGGGGGATATGGGTGCAGGACCCCCAGCCTCCCCCTCCCCTGCCACACCACACGGCCCCCCGCAACCCGCTGTATCACATCTGCACTCGGGAGACAGGATGCTGTGAAACTATTGCTGACTTTTATTTTAAAGCACAGAAAGGTGACAGCAGCCCCCAAACCACCCTGTTCCACCTCCGACTCCACCTCCCAACACTGCCAAGCACCGGCTGCCATCTTCCTCAGTTGGGGGTGTCTGGGCGTCCGGGACAGGCTTTGGGTCACCGTCGTCACACACCCTGTCCCCAAAGACCTGTCTCTGGGAAGCACCTGCCCTGGGTCTTCATTGCTCATCACCTGGACAGGTGCTCCTGGCTCCAGGGACACGTCTCAGTGCTTGGGGTGGGTGGGAAGTTGTTTGCAAAGGTCCCTGGTCCGCGGCCGCAGGGCAGACTGTGGGGATCGGCTGCCACGTAGCTAGTCTGCTCTCGGCATCTGCACCGGCTTCTCTCTGCACTGAGTAGGTGGCATCTCAGGCGAAGCCCCAGCGTGGGCCCCCCGTCACACGCCCCTCAGACCCCCTGCCAAGCTCCATCAAGGACCCTCTTCCCGCTCACGGGCCAGCCACCTACGGGCGGCTCCTTCCAAGGGCCAGCCATGGGGAGCTGTCCTCCACAGGAGTGAGCATGCCGCGGGGCGAGCCGACCTGTTCGCGAGGGGTGCTCACTGTGCCTCCGTCTGCCTTCTCGCTGCAGAACTCGCTGGTGGTCGAGATCCCGCCGTTTCGCAACCAGAGGGTGGCCAGCCCCGTGCAAGTCAGCTTCTATGTGTGCAACGGGAAGAGGAAGCGGAGCCAGTACCAGCCCTTCACCTACCTGCCTGCCAACGGTAACGCGCTCTTTCTGACCTTGCACGCTGCCGGCGAGCGGGGGGGCTGCCTTTTCTGAGAGACGCAGGCACCCAGGCGGTTGCCTCGCGCCTGTAAGCTGTGCTGCCTTCCTGTTAGCGAGACTTGTCCTCAGTTCCTTAAAAAAGAAGAAAAAAAAAAGCGGCCCTTCCAGAATATTTTCCTTTATTCCTGGAGGGCGTGGGGCAGCGTGTTGGGTGATGACTGAACGTTTTGCTGGCTGCTTGCAGATGTGCAGCAGCCGGGGGCGAAGGGGGCCCCCATCCTCCGGCCGAGTGTGCTGGGCGCTCGTGTGAATTGTATGGACGTTTAAGGCGAGGAGCAAATAGCTGTAATTACTTTGCAGGTCCCTTTAGAAATAAACCCTCACTGCTCAGCCTGAGGGCTGCTGCCTGAAGTGGTCGTTAACCCACACTGATGGGTTTTGTGCTCCCGCTATAGCCCCGCATGACATTCTTCCTCGAGTGTGGCATCGTCCTGTGACCCGCAGGCTTCCAGTCCCAGAGGCTGGCAGTGTCCTCCCCACTTAAAAAATCAGCTTAATGTCAACTCTCCAGGCTGTTTTCTTAAAGAAAACATTGTGTTTCTGCTCCTCCACCCTGCCCCGGGCACTAGCAGAGAGTGAGGGAGCGTGTGCCGAGCTGTGGCCACGGTGGCCCGTCTGTCCCTGTGGCCAGGGCGTGTCCGCCGCGGGCAGCTGCCCTCTGTCCCGGGTTTGACTGCGTCTTGCGGAAGCTCTGCCTCTCGAACAGTGTTTTCACACTCCAGCCTCTGTTCTCCAAGCGCGGAGTGAAGAGGGGAATTACACCCGCAACTAATCACGAAGGAAGCTACCTGGTTGTTTAGTAAAATGGCGACTTTTGAAGGTCCCCGTTTTCTCGGGACGTAAAATGTGGTTCGCAGTCGACTGGACCGTGGAAAGCTCTGGAGTGTCGCTGTCGAACAGGATGAACCGTTTCTGAGGCAAACTCGAGCCTCTGAAGGTGCGGAAAGACGATGCTGTTGTAGAATTGCCGCCTTGCGAGCGCGTCCGCGACAGTGTGCCCGCCGGGCGCTCCCAGAAACAGGGCCCGCGAGGTGTGTCTGCTGCGGGCTCCACGGCTCCCGGGGTCTCTGCTGCATGTTCGCCGGGGGGGCCCGTCCATTCTGGGCTGAGAGGCAATATCTCCGAAAAAGGAAACACTCAGTCTTTTTTTGTGAAAATGTAATGACTGTCTCCTAATTAAACTTCCAGCGTGGTTGACCAAGTATTGAATGTTTTACAGAAAACCTATGCCTTACAGAGGAAACTTCTTTTGTAAAGCCGTGTAGGAAGTGCCTCTGAGGGCCCTGCTCCAAGTTCACCAGCACCGAGCATTACTCACTCGCCCGTGTGGGGGGAGGGGCCGCTGGGACAGCACACCCTGCGACGTCAGGGGGAGCTGGGGGCCCGGCCACCCAGTCCTGTGGCCTCCCACCCGTGGGGTCCGAGTGCCTCTGCCCAGCACCCACAGCCCAGGCTCCACGCAGCCCCGGTCCACCAGCACCTTCATGTCCCTGCTGGGAAGGACCTCCCACTCAGCCACTCCCGCTGGCTGGTCCCCCCGGGCGTCACCCCCAGAGCCCATCTGTGAGACCCGCAGGGCTCTGCTCCGTCTCCTTCCACCGCTTGTCCGAGATCCGCCCCAGCCGGAGAACCTGGAGGTGCCCGCGCTGCCCTGTGTGCCCGGGTGGGGGCGAGGGGCCGAGCTCCCAGGGGCCGCGACCGCTCGGCACGCCACTGGCCTGCGCGCTCCCCAAGAGCAGGGACTCTGCCTGCGTCGGACGCCATTCCTGAGTTGCGGGCTGTCCTCACGGGGTTTTCAAGAGAAATAAACGGACGACTGATGAACTAGAGCTCGAGCAGCAGCTTCCGTTTGCTGTTTTCCTCGCGCCACACGGTCGCCTCCTCGGCTCTGGGGCAGAGTCGACTCGCCGCACTGGCCCGCGTGCCAGCCCCTGCACCTCTCGTCCGGAGGGTCCCCTTAGAGCGTCCCCACCCAGCTGCATCAGGCCCGCACCCCGACGCCCCGCCCATCACCCCCCGAGGGCCGTGGCCTGTGGATGTCTCTGCGGCGTGACACCATCGGCAAAGGCCGCCCTGGCTTCAAGGTCCTTTGGTTCGTTCCCTTCTCTGCTGCACCTCAGCTGTGGCGGGGTACCTTCCCCTCCCAGGTTGGGGGCCCACGGCCGTGGCTGCCTGCTGGTGGCAGAAACCTGCCTCGGGGGGTTGCTATGCTTGTACACACGGGCAGGTTCTTTTAAAAACGTGCTATTGAAACGTACGCAACGGTGGAAATAAACCCATTAAATCCTTCCTCTGAAACTCATTTCTGTGGGCAGATGCGTGAGGGCATGTGTGATTTGGGGTTCCCTTCAAAACTGGGGTGAAGCAAGGAGACAGCATAGCTTTGCGGCTCTAGCCTCCCGGACGGGGGCCTCCCGAGGGCCCAGCTCTCACACAGAAGCGCTCGAAGGTGGGGGCCCCTGGGTGTTTCGGGGGCTGGAAGCCAAGCGTGCAGGTGTTTGTCGGTCAGCGAAGGGCTGAGAAGGACCCACATCTTTCTTGCTTCTTGTCTCAGCTCTAACGTCACCTCCTGGTGACCACGGGTGAACCTACAGACCGCAGCTCCCGGGGTGACGCCCGCCTCGGCCCCCGCCCCCTACGGTCAGGCGTTCAAGCTGGCGGTCCGAGTGCAGGGAGGCCTCGGGAGGAAGCCGCAGGGCCGAGGCCTGCAGGTCCGGTCTTCAGCTGCTGCTCTGCGTGGAGCCCAGGACGGCCGCCTGCTCGTCTCTGGGGTGGGGGGGCGCTGAGTGTTTAATGGGGAGAAGCTGCCAGGGGCGTAGGGCCGTGAGGGGAGTTGCGGCGAACAGGAAGCCCCTCGCACTGCCGGCTGCACCGTCCTGGGGCAGCCGTCAGGGCAGGACAGGGGAGCGTGGGGGCAGTTCTAGAAAAGGCTACAAACGCTCACGCGGGCAGGCAGGGTGGTGTCCTCGAGGCGCCGTGGGTCCCGTCCGTCTGTCTGTCGTGCGTGTGGGCTGCGCCCGGCACCACGGAGGTGCCGCCAGGAGGACCCGTGCCTCTGAGAGTGGTCCCCAAATGCCAGAGGAGAGATGGAAAGGGCTGACCCATGGGGACGAGGTGGGCAGAGGGTGGCAGTCACTCTGCTCAAGATCCAGACGGCCGCCCCTGGCAGGGGCAGGAGCAGGAGCTCCAGTGATAAAAAGAATTCCAAGCGTGACCTCAGAATTGTGTAAAATGACAAGAACAGCCCTCGTCTGAGCCGTTTGTAGACGGTTTCCCAGAAACACCTGTGGTGGCCCTCGGACCCCTACCCACTGCGGCTGGGCCGCTCTGGGTGGGGGACCTGGAGCTTCACCGGGAAAAGCCTGGACCACCTTTGTCAGGGTCCCCAGTGGCCAGGACTCCCCACCTGGGGCCCTGCTTGTCCTTCTCAGACTGAGTCCCAGAGACCACCTGGCAATGACCACACAGCTTTTGTCCCCAAGAGAACCTGTCTGGACCATGGGGAGAAACGGCTTTGTCCCGGGTTGGGATGGCCCTGCCCAGCGGGGAGGGGGCTTGTGGGCGCTGCCAGTGAGCCCCGAGAGGAGGGACCCCTCAGTTGTCCTGCTTGTGGTTAGAGGACCCTGGTCAAGTCAGTACCCGTGTGAGGTGGTCGGAATCACACCTGCACCACCAGGCAGGAGAGGAGAGCAGGTCTGTTCTCGCCCGCGCCCCTCGGCCCGGAAGCCGGAGCAGAGTGAGAGGTCGGAGCAGGCCCCCAGGGCGGCCCGAGGGGCAGGCAGGCAGGTCTCTGGGGGTCCCAGCACTGTGGCTGACGACGGGAGGCCCCACCCCAGGGCAGCGGGGGTGCGTACGTGGGTGGACACGCAGCCGTCCGTCCGCCCAGCAGCCTCGACCTCACGCGGGCTGCCCTAGGTCTACCTTTCCACCGAGAGTTTTGGCTTGTTCTCCTTATCTGCATTAAAGTTTAGCCCCGACGTAGCCAGATGGACCCAGAATGTGGCCAGTCGGTGACTTCAGAGGCCACTGGCTTCTGTGAGAGGCACGGCTGATCCTGCCTCTCACGTCCTGCCCGTAGCCCCTGGCCCCTCACCCAGAGGCCGCCTGGGCCTCGAGTCATAAATGTCCTGTTTTACAAAGAAGTGAGCTTCCCGGAGCTTCAGCTGCCGCTGGCCCGCCGTGGGGCACACGGCGTCTGACCCCGAGGCCTTCCCTGCTGGGCCTGCGGAGCCCTGAGCGACCTTCTGAGAGGCCACGCGTGTGCCTCCTGCCGGGGCTGACCTCAGCTCGGTCTGACGGGAGTGGCAGGCGCAAAGGAGGGCCCTGCTGCCGTCCACGCTGGCACCTCGTTGCAGAACCCTCACCAGCTTTCGGACAAAGCAGAGGGTGCCAGCGTTTCTCCCTCCCACTGCCCATCCTGGGGCCTTCCTTCTGAAGCCGAGGGGGCCGGGGAGGGGGCACGGCCGGAGAGGATGGGCGAGGAGAAGGTGCCACCCAGGGGTCCGCTTCCTTCAGGGCCCCCGAGACCCCGCGGTGCTCAGCTGGCAGGCTGCTGAGGTTGGTGGCCGGTCCTGTGTACATTCCAGAACCTTCTTCCCGAGGCAGTGAGCTGGTGTTGGGGTGGGACTGGCACCCGGCGGAGCCTGCATGGTCCCTGTTCATTAAATGCTCCCAGAACCGAGCGGCTGTTCTCATTAAACTCCCGGCTTTCCTGGCTCCCCTGTCACCCCAGCCAGAAAATAAGGGACCCGAGTTTCATCTCTTTCCACATTGTAACCCTCATGGAATAGTGGTGCCCAGGCACCAGGTGACGTCCTGGGAGGAATGTGAGTCCCCAAGTCAGGCCCCAGGAGGGGTGAGGTCAGGGGCAGGCCAGGGTGTGGCAGAGACCAGGGCGGGGAGCCTGGGTCTCTACTTGGGGTTCAGCACGTGTCTGACCCTCCCGTCACGGGGTCCAAGTCGGGGCTGGAGGGGCCCCCACGTTGTAGAAGAAGGGGACCTGGGACACGTACCCGAGGGGCTTCCCTGGCCGAAGGGTTGGCCTGCTGACCTTGCATGCCTCCTGAGTTCTCTGGCCACACCACGGAGCACAGGGAAGGGACACTCAGGCCTGTTCAGGGAGCGGGTCAGAGGCCTGTGCCCAGAGCCTGGGGTGGGGGGGCCGCATTGGGGGCCTGGGACTCACACCCGGGACTCCTTCACAGCACCCAGGCTGCAGCAGCTCTGAGGGGCCTTCAAGGGTGGTCTGCTTTAGAAACTAGAGGGCGGTGGGCATCGGAGGGAAACACCCAGGCTCCCACGGACAGGACCTGACACAGCTCTGTGCGCCCTGGCAGGGCAGCCTGTCCCCTGGGGAGCCCGTCCCACGACACCTGCGCGGGGCTGGGGGGTCACGTCACGTCACGGCTGCAGGGAGCATAACTCTGGGGGTGCTGGGGCCCCGAGAGTCTCCCTGGGCCTCAGACCAGAGCCCAGGCCCTCGGCGCACAGCTGCTTGGAAGCAGCCGCGGAGCGTGAATCATGCGGCTTCCCACGCGGTGCTGGCGCTCGCCGGGTGAAATCCGATCGGTGTGTTTTTTGGCTCGTGTGGTCTGTTTTGACGATTGTCTCCATCAGCCTAATTGGGTGACGGGCAGGTCCCCACGTCACTGAACCTGGAGAAGCCCGGCTGGTGCACACCTGTGGCCGCGCAGCTGGCGCCCCCGGGAGGCGCTGGCCACGTGGGAGCCTGGGCCCTGAGGACGCACCCCGCCCGCAGACCCCCCCAGCCCCAGGGTCCCCGCTGCTCTCCCATCCCCTTATCTAAGGCAAGTCGTGCCCTGAAGCCCTCACCCCGGTGTTTATGCTGATGGTAAAACTCAGGCTCCAGTGTTTGCAACAAACAGGAGACAGTCTGCTCTTTGTTTCCTGGGGTTTGGAACAAAACCTCCTTTGTCCGAGACTGCAGAGGGGACCTGGTAAAGTGATTCAAGCTGAAACACTTGCGGCCACACAGAAATGTGTGCGTGCAGTTGGGGGACAGGAGTGGAAGGTACAGGGGCCTGTGCCCTGCCCTGTCCATGTCCCTGGGTCCTGTTCCAACCTGGTGAGCAGATGTTACTACAGAGGGACGTATGAGGGACCAGGCCGCCATCACCCCACTGACCACCGCTCTGGACATCCAGGCCCAAGGTCAAGGGCCAGCAGGGTGGGGACCCATGAGTACCCTCCTCAGGTGCCAGATGCCGCCTCTTAACCGCGCAGTCACGCAGCAAGTGGACAGAGTGAGGTCTCTCTCTGGGGGCCTGGCTGCCCCGGTTGGAGGATGGGCCCGAACCCAGACTGGTGGCAGGGTTTGGGGGCTGCCCCTGAGTGAGGGGACAGAGCTGCTCAGAGGGCGGGCAGAGCTCCAGCTTCCTGTGCCGGAGCCACAGGGTGACGGGCGTGTTGGCACTGGGGGTGCCCCCACACCGCACTGGTGTGCCCCCCTGCAGCCCAAGGAAGGCGGTCAGTTCATGTGCTCACATCTGAGGGTAAAGGAGAGAAGACGCACTCGGCCTGATGGCCCTCAGGCCACAGACAGGCTGCCCCGCCCAGGGGGGTCTCATCCCAGGGCCCCCGAGCCCTCAGGAGCAATCCCGCCCAGTCTGGTCATCAGCCCCCTGGCTCCCCCTGTCCAGTTCCTCCGTGGAAACGGCCTCTAGTGGCCATTTGTAAACGCACTGAGCTCCTGGTGGAGGGGCAGGGCGGCAACCAGCTGCTCCTGCCTCCGGGGGCCCCGGGGTGTCTGCTCCACCCCAAGGGCGAGCACTGAGGCTCAGATGGGGTGTGGGTGGGTGACGGGGGGCTGGGCCCCGATCAGTGGGCCCTGAGGACAGACCTGAGATTCAGCGCCCCCCACAGGCCGTGGGAGTTGGCTCGAGAGGGAGGGACGGCCTCTCTGTCGGGTCCCCACACTGCCCGGTGGCCCTGCAGGTCATGAGGTGGAAACTTGACCAGAAAGAGCCCCGGGAGCAGACCGATGCCGGTGCCATGGGCTCTAACAGGCCATGGACGACACTGGCCGCCGAGCAGACAGCAGCGCCCTCTTGCCCACAGACGGTGCCCGGCAATCCCTGGCTCCGGCAGCACGGCGGCCACACTGTGGGCATCACCCGGGTAGCTCGCTGGGACCGCCCTTTTAATGTCATTGGGAGCAGATGGGGTAGGACATTCAAAGAGCTCAGGGGACGCGTCACGAGAGAGACACAGTGGCCTTCGTGCCGGCTGAGACTCGGTGAGGGAGACCCACGAGGGCACTGCGTTCGCTGCTGCCCAGAGTCCGAGAACTCTACCGAACTCGGGGATTTAGCCTTCGGCACGCTGGACGCCTGCGTGTCATGGGGCGCCTTTCCAATGGGAGACTTTGGCTCCGCCCAGGCCATGTGTCTGTGGGCCTGTTTTCATAGATTATCACCCCTGCCCCCGATGCAGGGTCTCGGGGTCCACGACGTGCTGGCAGTGTGGGGGGAGGGATGCGGGTTCGGACAGAGCCGGGATGCTGCACCCAGACCCGCAGAGCCGGCCACAGGGACTGTCCTGAAGGGTGACACCAGCCGGCGTGAGGACCGAGTGACGCGCTCTAGGCTGTCAGCCCACAGCCCAGCCCTTCGAGGTGCGGGAGCCGACACCGCCCTCAGACGCCGGGCTCTCCAGCCAGGCGAGCAGGCTGCAGCTGTTTCCTGTTAACTGTGAGGACGTCACGCGGTCTTGGCAGCCGGGCCCAGCGCCCCCCCACTCCCGTCTGTGGACGTGGAAGGCGTGGCGGGGAGCTGCACCACGAGGGGGCTCAGGCCCAGCAGAGGCGGGAGGCCCCCTGGCTGGGGGTGTTCGCCAGCAGGACTGTGTCACCAGGGGGCCTGCTGGAAAGTTCAGGGGGAGACCTTGTGGGGGGGCTTTCTGAGGGGCCACCAAATGAAGCCACGCATCCTTCCGCACGTGCTCAGGGGCACAGGACGCACGGACGCACGGAGCCCGGGGTCCCGGGCCACCGCAGCAGCGGGCCGCACACTCTCCCAGACTCGCGTGCCCCTCAGGAGCCGCGTTCTCCTCCCGGGACACGTGGCCGCTGGCCACACTGGGACCTGCCCACTGTCGCCGGCATGATGGGCACAGAATTCACATTCACCCTGAGAATGCCCAGCTCCCTCGTCCTGCCTGCAGCCCCCGGCCTGGGCCTGAGCGGCCCTGCCCTCCTAGAACAGAGGGGCACAGGCCGGGCGGGCCGGGCACCCAGGGGAGCCCACTGGGCGGCCGAACACCCGCCGACCCCTTGGGCAGCCAGCCGTGTGAAGACCGCCGTATTCTGCCGGGTCAGCTGTGCCTGACTTGGCGTGTCCTCACTGCTCGGTCACACTGGCTTGAGGGACACAGGGCGGCATCTGCAAGTGGCAGACCGAGGTGGTGGGAGACGCCAGCTGGAGGCCTCATAATGACTGTGACCCTGTCCGCACAGCTGGCCGTCCAGGGACGCCAGCCACGCGGCTCGGTCTGCATGCAGGGGGGACGCCCTCACGGTGGACGAGTGGCGAGCGGCTGGGCACTGGTTTCGGCTGCGAATCCCCAGGAGCTGAAAGCTCAGGCCTTGGAGTTTCTGAGGAGTCGCTGGCCTGGAACCGCCCTCCTGTTTCTGTCTGAGTGTCGCCTTCAAGCAGGAGATGGGGGCCGGTCCCAGGCACACAGGGCAGCTCCCGCACCGCCACCTCTGCCCAGCCACGGGGTGGCCGCGGGCACCCAGCCAGGGCAGTGCAGACCGCACACCTGCGGGGCCGCCCCTGCTCCAGCAGGCGAGCCGGGCCCGGGAGGCCCAAGGACAGCACGTGGTCACACCGCAGGCAGCCGCGGGTGCTGGCGGGGCCTCCCCTGTGGATCCCGTGCCATTGTGGCCGTTCTCGGAACGATGGCCCTGGCCACCGAGATGACCCTGTGATGGGCACCAGAGGCGTGAGGCCCAGGAGAAAACAGCACAGGAGGCGAGTGAGGGCGGGAGCGGCCCGGGGCACCGGCGACACCCGCTGCAGCACTGGGGGTCCTCCCGGCCTCCCTCGGACCTCGGCCCGTACCCGGCCCCTTCCAGGCTGCATCCGCTTCCCAGGGCGGGGCGGACGGGGGGCGGGGGCACTTGGGAGCCGTCCCGCCCGCTCGGGGCGGTGGGGTCCCTGCCGCCCTTCAGGAGCGGAAACCGCAGGGCGGGGAGGGGCGGCGGCGTTTACGTTTCTGGTGCGAAGGCGCCTCTCCGGCAGCCCGCGCCACCTGTCTTTGCCGCCGTATTTTGCCGAGTTCTGAGCACGCCGTCCCTGTCCCCAAGCTCGCCGACCGCCCCGCCGCGCACCCGACGGGCCTCGGCAGCACACAGATGCCGCCGTGCGTCCAAGTTCACATTTTCGCTTTGATTGCTACAAATCCGCAGGCCCTCGGGTCCAGGGCTTCCACTGCAGTTTGCAAATGGGTTTTTATAGCACATTAGTGCTGCGGGAGGTTCCAAGGAAAACAGTGCTGTCGGGATTAGAAGCAGCTGCAGCTCGAGGAGCCGGTGACTCACGCCCGCCTCTTTAATTGGGTGGGAGAGCCGGGCGGGAGACACAGGGACTCAGTCAAGACGCTGTTTGTTTTTGGAGGGTGTCCTGGCCGCGGCCCGCCCAGCGCACCCATCTGCAGCGTGTTTATTTAACTTTTTTCTTTCTCACAGTTCCAGTCATAAAAGCAGAGCCCACCGATGACTACGAGCCGGCCCTGACCTGTGGACCCCTGAGCCAGGGCCTGAGTCCACTCCCGAAGCCGTGCTACAGCCAGCAGCTGGCCCTGCCTCCCGACCCGGGGTCTTGCCTCGTGGCGGGCTTCCCGCCCTGTCCCCAGAGAAGTGCCCTGATGTCACCGCCGCCCAGTGCCAGCCCGAAGCTTCACGACCTGTCCTCTGCCACCTACAGCAAGGGCATGGCCAGCCCCAGCCACGGTCCCCTTGGACTGCAGCGGCCAGCCGGAGGGGTCCTCACCAGCCCGGAGGCGCCGAGGCCTGTGGGCGTGCACCCCGGCTCTCCCCAGCCACCGCCTGCCACCCTGCTGCAGCCACAGGTGAGTGCACAGCTGAGCAGCAGCCGTCCCCCGGGTGGCCGGCCAGCACTCTGTCCCCACAGCCCCTCGTCTGCACCGCCGCCCGGTGCCCAAGAGCCGACCTGCCTGCAGCCCTGCAGCCCAGCCCGCCCACCTGGCATGGGCCACCAGCAGCACCAGCCGCCGAAGGTTCCGGAAGCAGAGTCTGCAGCCGCCAGGCCTCTGCCGCTGCCCGAGGTGCGTGAGGACAGTAATCAGGGTCTGGCCCCCACTCCCGTGTTGGTCAAGCGAGAGCCTCAAGAATTGGACCAGCTGTACCTGGACGATGGTAAGTGCCCGCGGCCGCAGGCGCGCACCGGGCCTGGCGCGGTGCGAGTGCTCGGAGGAGGGGTGTGCGAGCCTGCAAGGCGGGCAGTGTCCGTGGCGGGGTGCTTGGTGCCGCTCCGTCACCCTGGCCACCAGTGCGGCCAGTGCCTGGGGCCGTTGACCCACAGGGAACAGTGTCCCGGTAACTGCGGCCAAAACCTCGAAAGGCCAGGTGTGTGGCCAGAGCTGTGCCGAGCGTGGCCCACGGTGAGCGGAGTTCGCCGAGGGTGAGACCACCTGCCCAGGGGCCAGGCAGCCAAGCCCCCTCAGGGCTGCTCTGGCGAACAGTGTCTAAGTGACAGCGCAGCCACAGAGGTGACATTTGACCCCAGGCAGCTACATAAGGGGGCTGAGTGCTGTGACGGTCTCGCCAGGAGCTCAGGGAGGGGACAGGGTGGCCCTGAGCCCCGCACGCACGGTGAGAGGCTGTGGGTATGGAGTCGCCCAGGGTGGTTGGGAAGGGACGCGCCCTCGGCGCACCCAGGTGCAGAGGCCTGAATCCCAGGGTGGCCGGAGACGCCGGGTCCCGTTCCCGGTGGATTTATCACAGAGTCGCTCTTCGCTTGGGCACAGGTTGTGGCGGAAGCCAGGCGGCTGCGGGCCTGCTCTCTGCGCACCGAGAACCGCTCAGCTGGTGCTTTCCCGGCAGAGCGGGGCTCTGTGTGCAGCCCCTTCCCGTGTCCCGGGCGGCGGTCTCCGACTCGGGCACGGTCGGGCGCCTGCGGGAGGCACTTGTCCTCTCAGCCACCGACCCAGCTGGAGCCCGAGAGCCCAGCCCCCACTGTCCAGTCCCTGAAAACAGTGGCCGGACAGCGCCCCGGCCGCTGCCTCGGTGAGCGTCACGGTTTCTGTGTGGTTGTGGCCTTAAGCCTCCACTGGCCCCTTCGTCCCCAGGTCCTTTCGGGAGAACATTCCCTTCAGGAGCTGCTGTCCCCCCGTGGGTGGCGCGGCTCTGCCCGTTCCAGTGGCCGCGCCGGGCAGCGGGCCTGCAGCAGGCGCCACCCAGGGTGGGGGTGGGGGGACGTCCCGGCTGAGCACACACTCCCCGAGCTCCTGGGTCCTGCCCACTCCCATCAGCTCAGAGAAAGCGGCCCCACCACATACGTCTGCCGCCCCCCTCCCGTGGACCCCCACCTCTCCACCTGGTGAGTCCGCAGCCTCCACCAGCAGCGGTGCCCCTGGGACCCCTCCCTGGGACCCCCCCCAGGGGCCAGCTCGGCCACCTCAGGGGATCCTCACCACCTGGGAGGCGGTGCCACGCCCATGGCCACGGGCAGGACAAGAGCAGCGTGACCCTCCCTGTCACTCTCCCCAGCGGACACCAGGCTCCAGTCCTGGAGGCCCCACCTCTAAACGCCATTGACACACCTGCACCCTTGTCAGGGCCTCACGCCTCTCACCTGCGTGGCGGTAAGGTGGCTTTTAGCAGGTCACCTGGCTTTCATTCCCCCCAGACACTGGGCTCGAGCGCCCTGTGACCCGGGTCTGCCCCGCTCACCACCCTGTCCTTAGCCTCCTGGTCCGGCCGCGCACACTGCGCCTGGAGGCCTTGGCTGCCCTCCCGCCTGCGGGCCCCACACGCGTCCTGGGCCCCTGAGCAGAGGCCCCGAGGCCCGGCCCAGTGCAGCCCACACAGAGGTCTGTCCCCTCCGTTCGGGGCCACATTTAGGGCCCTTATTCCCACGGAGTCTCTGTGTGGTCTCCGCCTGTGACCAACAAAGCTTCCCAGTCACAGCACACGCAAGCCCAGAGGTGTTCGTTTTCACACCCCCACACGTGACGTGCTTATTCCCCAGTGAGAACCACGCAGGGAAAGGCCCTTCCGAGCTGGCGGTGGCGCAGATGGCTGACCAGCCTCCGCCCGCATCCCCACCGGGCAGCCCTTCCCGAGACCGAGGCAGGGCTGCGGGCGCACCGGCCGTGTTCCCGGGACGCAGCCTCACACCCGCCAGGCTGCCCGCAGTGGGGCGCCAGGCTGGAGCGGGTCCCGTGTGCAGGCCCTTGGCTCTGCCCTGTCCTGGCAGCAGGAGCCACACCGTGTCTGTTCTGGGCACCGTTCCCGTGGGAACACGGATCGAATGAGCGGATAAGTCTCCCCACATCCACCGCCGGCATCAGAAGGTAGGGCCCGGCTCTCTCTGGTACCTCCAGGCATTGGCGGCTGTGCAGCTGGAGGGAGGCGGCACCCCTCGCTCACCCGAGGGCTGGCGGGCGGCCACCTGCCGGGAAGTCGGGGCTCACACAGGGGCCTAGATGCCGGATCTTTGTGCCGAGCTCGGCTTCTCAGAACCTGGCGCTGCCCCTCCCTCCCGAACTCAGAGGGCGAGGGAGGGCGGGCTCGCACCGTGGTTCCTTCCCGCGGAAGGTTAGAGAGGGGGATGGCGGCGTGGGCGGGGCCCAGCTGCTTCCGTACGGTTGCCTGGGGAGTCGGCGCTGTCGTGGGGTGCTTTGCTGGCCCCCTTGTTAAGGTTCTGCGTCGCTGAGGTATTTGAAAACCATCCCTTCCCGCGGGGACAGTGTCGATTCTCCGGCTGGTTCTGGGTAGAGAAAGGTTTTCGTCCAGAGCAACTCAGCCTGTTAATGAACTTCAACTCCAGTGTGTTCTGCGGGTCAACAACATTCATAGGATTTTGGCTCTCAGCTCAGACTTCAACTGTGGGTCCACAAGAGGTAATTTTTGAAAGATTAGTTTTACCGACTGGGTGTTATTTGAAACGCGGGTTTTTCTAGCGCGTCGCCAGAGCCTTGCTGGACAGTTTCCGTGGGTTGCCGCTGTGCAGAGCCAGGGCGAGGCCGCCGCCGCCGCCCTCCCTTCGGCCCTGGGCACACTCACGCTTGTCGCTGTCCAGGGTTCCCTCGGACCCACATTCTCCGGAAGTGTGTCCTCACCCTGTTGGGCACGCGGAGTGCACTCCGCACCTCGGTGACAGGGACCCCTGCTTTGCTGAGACAGAGCCCCTCCCTTGAGCTTCGCAGCTGGAGCAGCGGCTCCCAAGGTGCTGGCTTGTCTGCCGCCCAAGCCCCTGTTGTCACCTCCCCGCCCTGCCGCTGCCGCCGCCCACAATCGGCCCTTTCACTCCTCCAGGAGCCCCGGGGTTTCCAGAGGCTCGATGTCATTAAAACAACAAGCAGGTGGGCCCGCGTCTGGGCCACGAGCCCACGCCCCTCTTCCCGGGCTCCGGCTGCTCGGGAGACAACAAAAGGCTTCCCTCATGGAAAGTGTTACTCAGCTGGCGCCGCGCCCGGCGGCGGCGAGCGAACGGCCTGTGTGAGGTGCGGTGAGCACGCGGCGGCGATGACATTGGAGATGCACTGCCACAGGACGCGGGGGGGAGGAAGCCCAGCCGCGCAGGGAATCCATCGGGGTCCGGCCCGAAGGCCCCGGACGTCTGCACGGCCCCTGTGCCGCCCAGACAGGCACGGCCATCGGTGTGGGGGCCCCGCAGGACTGCAAACAGGGAGACCCCTCGGGGGGCCGTTCGTGCAGGTGCCGGCCAGCACCGCCGGCTGTGGGTGGAGGTGGACGTCGCCCTGCGCCCACCCGGGCGCTGAGAGCCTCCAGGGGCCACAGCAGGGCCTCCGCGTGCCTGTGCCCTGGACGTCCGAGTGTCTACACGGAGACTTAGAGCTGAGCTCCCAGGGGTGGGACAGACATGGGGACACGGGCTTAAATGTCTCAGGGTTTATCTGGAGAAACCTCGCCGTCACCAGGCACCACCGGCCAGCGGGAGTTCTGTCCTGCCGTCCTGGCAGACACCGTGCCGAGCGCAGGATTCCATGGTGTCTGGGAAGGTGTGTGTTCGTGTGGGAAGCCTGTCACCGTGGACACCAGGGCGGCAGCAGGTGCTGGGGGAGGAGCGGCGAGGAGGGGTGGCCACTCCGCCTGGTGCCGAGCATGGTTCTCCCTAAATAGGTGCCATGTCCAGCAGCACCGTGACATCAGCGTGTCCCTTCCCACGTGGGAGGGGCATGGAGGGAGGGAGGGTCCAGCTCCCAGGACCCCTGCACTTTGGTGCCTGCCAGGTGCTGGGCACTTTGCTCGGCTGCCCGGTGCGTGGCGAGCACGGAACAGCTGGAACCACGTGTCCTTTGTCACCAGAGGCTCCCGCCCCCACTGCTCTGTCTGCACTCGGAGAACAGCTGCTTCCAGAGGCCCCCTGCTCTCCATCCCCCCTCACCAAGAGTCCTTTGCCGGCCCCCTTCTCTAAATGTGGAGCCGTGTGAGGGTGTCACTGTGCGGGGGACAAGGGAACTAGCGGGGGTCTCGCAGGGCCGGCCCCACCCAGCAGCGTCGGGGGCTGGGAGCAGGTCACCGAGCAGGGAGTGGGGTTGACCTGCAGGTGTGGCTTCGGGCGGGCAGGTCAGGGCTGGTCCTCGCTGAGCAGCGCGGCACCGGGTCTGCTTGAGTGCAGACCCTGCCTCTCGTCCCACGCGGAGGTGAGCGCCGCCCAGGAGCCCTGGGGGGGGGCAGTCTTCATTTCAGACCAGCAGCGGCGCCCGGGGCCCTGCGTGTTCTCTCTCTGGTGCACGTTCACACAGACACTTCGGCACCTGCGGGCCGGTGAGTGCCACGCCACGCCACCGGAGTGTGCAGCCGCAGCCCAGGGCGTGTGAAGGCACAATGGCCGCATTCACGAGGCTCAGCTGTCGACAGGCCGTCGGGCTCGTGTCTCGTCGGGCGAGCGGTGACCAGGGCGGCTCGGGCTCCGTCTGCATCTGTTGGACGACTGTGTTTTCGCAAGAGCGGCCAGGGCCCCGTAACCGAAGCCAGGCGCTTGGCCCGGTGCCCCGGGGCTGTAGGAGGGGGGCCAGCCAAACACCACCGCCTCTGAGTGACCCCCTGACGCAGACGCGCGTTCTCGCGTGCGGACTCCCGAGCAGCGTGGTGCCCCGGCTCACGGGCGTCTGTGGAGTGCGGCAGGGGAGGACACAGACATCGGCCATGGTGCTGATCACCTCCCC